CAGACACAAAAGGGCCGACAAATAATGGCACCAAAATTAATATTGGATTTTTGAGAATTCAGGTTCGCTTTCAAGTGATTTACCGTATTATGAAATCTACTGGATTAAATGGTAGCTTTCTTATTAAATGGAATTTGAACCCGTTTTTGATACATATTGTAATCAGGGTAGACTCGTTTTATTTCCACTAGTGTCTTAAATCTGGATGGAGGAAACCTGCATCGTTAACGTGTTCTAATTTGGAGGTCAGGGTTTGAGAAACAGATGTCTAGTTATTCGAGGCTAAAAGAGTAAGTTAAGAAAACAACGTAATTTTACCAGACGTTTAATGGAATTATTTGACATTATTCCATTCATTAGATTGATGGGTGTACATTATCCTTCATGAATGGTAGAGCTAGAACCAAAGAAAAAAACACATACTGTCTCCCATTATATAATTAGAACTTGCTGAATTATCATTGTCGTTCTTAATATCGTGCACGGTCTCCGATACCCCCCCCCCCAACACACACACGTTTTCAACTTTGTTCTTGGTTTGAGGAGGGATGGGGGGGGGGGGGGGCGTAATTTATATACACAGATTAAGTTTTGTGTCTTATATAATTAAAATTATAAATTATATAATACATGTACAGATATATAAAAAGTAATATATCGTAAGTCCAGCATTTTATTGAATATAGGGGAGTTGGATGGCTGAATGGTTAGCGTGCGCGCGCTGTATCATAAAGTCTGTCATTGAGTCGACTGGCGTGGTTTCGAACCCCCGGTTGTACGTGACAAGGAGTAGGGTTGCCTGTCCAACCTCGTGGGTTTTCTCCGGGTCCTCCGGTTTCCTCCCACTGCTAAAGACCCCTATGCGCAAGCGAATTATTGAAATGAAATTAAAAACCACATGTTAGTCCCGAAATGACCTAGTTTGTGTCGAGTGGACGTTAAACCCCATTTCTCTCTCTCTCTTTTATTGAATATAGCACTGAAATTATCACACAACATTCCACTTGATTTATTTGAAATAATTACATCGCAGATCTGTAAAATGTATATAGTTTACACTGTATGTTGTATATTTTGATTAAACTGTAAGTTGGATATATTTTACACTGTATATGTGTATAGTTTACACTGTTTATTGTATATTACACTGTATATTTCATACTGCATATTGTATATACATGTAGTTTACACTGTATGTTGTATATAGTTTGCACGGTATATTGTATATAGTTTAAACTGTGCATTGTATATACATGTAGTTTACAATGTATATTTCATATATTTTACACTAGGCTATACATTTTTTGTATAGTTTATATTGTATATTGTATACAGTTTAAACTGTATATGGTATATATACCACTATATATGTCTCACTACACGCTGAGGGATTGTTTGCCAATGATTTTGGAGTGCCTGGGAACGGAAGTTGACGTTGATAGCGGCCCAAACCATGACGCCACCTCCCGGAAACAATCCCTTTCCAGCACACAGTTACGAGCAAAGCGTTCATGTCGACGTCGGTAGATACAGTGACGTCCATCAGGAAAACTGAGGTTGAAACGGGATTCATCCGAGAAGATGACATTTCGCCATAGTGTAGTGTGCAGATACCCCTGATTTGCGGCCCATTGCTGTCTGGCAAGTCGATGACGATGCAAGAGGATTTGACCTTGGTAAGGTCGACGGCACGGCAGTGGAACCCAAGAGCAGTTCCCCTGGCAGTAGCATTAGCTGACTGGAACCTGTTGCGCAGCTGCTGTAGTCGGATGTGGCGATCTTGAGCAGTGGTTGTTACAGATGGCGCTTCAAGTCGGGGTCGATCGGCAACTCTTTCAGTGGCATGAAAGCGTTGTCTGAGGCGAGCAATGGTCGATGGGTGGACATTAAAGTGTCTGGCGACGGCTACCTGTGAAGCCCCCTGATCCAGCATGCCAATATCTCGGTTCTTGTTTTCTTGTGTAAGGCGTGGCATTTTTCTGAAGTGATGAATTTTGAAATTTTGATCTCTATTTAAAGGGCCATAGGCAGGGAATGCACGTGCAAAATGTGTGACATGGGACTGCTTAAAATCGTGAAAAAAGACAAGTGTTGCGTTTGCACGAACAAAGTTCTTTACCGAGAACTGATATTGGGTTCAAACCCAGAACTCCACAAAAATACCGTTTACCAGAAATATTTCACGAATTAGGCATTGCGTTTTTAATGGCTTTGAGTACTGTTTGTTTAATATAGTTTATACTGTACGTTGTGTATAGTTTACATTATACATTGAAAATATTTAATACTGCATATTGTATATAGTTTATGCTGTGCATTGTATATAGTTTATATTGCATAATACATGCGATTTACTGTATATGATATATAGTTTACACTTTATATTGTATTATAGTTTACACTGATTAAATACAACATAATATGTGTTTTTACACCATTAAGTAGCCTTTTTTACAAACATTTACATGCCCAATAATATAATTTATAAATTCATCATCACAAAAATATATTGCATTTTTATTTCTGATGTTTAGTAAACACTGTGCTTTACGACACACAAAAATTGAACTAAACACTCGCTTTAAAATATACGTTCAGATAGTGAATGTTGGTGGTTAGAAACCAAAGTTTCATCAGAAGACAGGGTGACCCAGGCAGGTTAAAGTATAGCACTATATTGTTCACAGTAAGATGAAAATACATGTGCATTAGGCCGGCAATCTATTACATATGTTATGGCGGTTTTAGTGTGTAACTGTACACTTTTTACACTCTGCACTGTATCTATCTATATAGGATAATAATAAAAAACGAAAAACGCACAAAACGTTACATATAACATTTTTAGCATTACTGTCAGGTATATTATTATAAAGTTTAAATAAATTTGCTATTACTTTGTAAAATATTGCAAACCATATGCTATTATATTGATTCGACTCAATACTTAACCTGCCACTTTTTTGCACCAACCGGGCTAAGTAAGACAGTGTGTTACAAGGAGACTTTTGCTGCCTAGTCATCGAACCCAAACTGTCATGATTTCTGTTGTGTGCATGACAGCGAGAACACGGAAGAACCTTGGGTTTTCGTCCTATTCGAACGACTGGAAACTTCCCCTTGCCAGGACTGCTGCAGGGATCAACTGAGAAGGCGTTAATATTCTTGCCTAGATTGTGGACCCTTTTTAGTCTTGAATTTACGTAATTTTAATGAATTTGTAAGTAAAGCCGTCCCTAGAGGAGACTTGGTACTCAAGATATACTCTAGAAAGCACCAATTGCAGTCAATTTTTGTCAAAACAATTTCTCGCGCTCGGGGGAGTGAACCTTTTGCCCGGCACAATCTTGGTTCGTATTGAATATATCAAACCTCAATTATTTTGAACAGTATTTTATATGACCACATATTATATTGTCCGGTTCCTTGTGATATAATGAGGGAGGCGCGGTGGTTCAGTGATTAAGATTCTGGCTCGCTAACCAGGAGGTCTCGGGTTCGCTCCGGATGTTGGCCGAGAAAGTTCCGCGTGACTTTCTCCTTGTCAGTGGTGCAGTGAGTGTCTAGACGTTCGGATGGGAAGAAATATCGCGGCTCCGTGTACAGAATGACGTGCACGTGAAAGACACCTTGACAGTAGGGATTCGTTGTAAGAGTATTCGTATGCTTACCCGTCTTCATTAGCCCAATCGGGTCAGAAAGGTGGGACGTTAAAATTCATTTCATTTCATTTTTGGTAACAATATATACTGATATTACTGTATATTATCAGGTATATTATATACCACCCACGTGTTAGTAATTCTGTATCACCTGTATATGTATATATACAACGAGAAAGGGGGAGATGTGGATACATGTCACTATATAACACATCAATTGATACATTATGTTTATATTGTTTGTTTTTATAGATCTGTCTTCAGAGAATCAACATCCTTTGTCTTGTAGAAATAGTACAAGTAAATATCAATACATGATAGGTACATAAAGAGACGAATTTCTACTGGATAGACAATATCCTATATCTATTCAATAAATTCAGAGTTGTTGAAGGATTATTCCCATTAAGACTCTTGAAAGCTTTAGGGCAGACATTTTATTGGGTTGTTGATTATTTCGAATATACTTAGTGAAAGGTAACAAAATGTAAAGATAGTTTGTCATACAGGAAACAAAAGGTAACCAGCTAATCTAAGTCGCCCGTATCGTGTACATAGGACGTCGCTTAGTAATTCCTATTTAAAAAGGCCCAAATATAAACACCACAACATCATTTACAAGATTTTACAATATAAACAAAAACAATGATATCAGAAGAACTGAGAAGTAATATTCAAAAATTTGAAAATTCTATCGGATAAGAAAGTGTGGACGGAGATCGAAGAGACAACGGTGACAGGGCAATCAAAAGGCGAAGACGGCCAGGCAAGGTGGTTGGCATGCGCCTCTTGTTTCGATGATCTATTAATTAAAACAACATCTCTAATTATTAATTAATTCCCATATTATGGAAGATAATCTAATCTAGCTATATACTATCTGTGATTCTATGATTACAGTAAATGATAACGATAATATTATTGACAAGAAGACAACTTTTAAGACAAATTAGATGATTTGGCCACTGACTAGGCTTAGTGGGGAGTCAGTAGTGGTCATTCAGACCATGTTTACCAGATGGTAATTACCATAAACTAAACGTGTCGTCGATGGTTTTCATTAACAACATAAAGTTTACTGCAGGCAATTAATTCTCACTCCATTATCTCATAGTTAAGACTGATGAAACAGGGTGTAACAAGGTTTTGTCTTCATCTTGAAAACGTTGGTTTCAAACACATGGCAGGGAAATTAAAAACAACCCTAAAATCATTTATTGGTACAAGAACGTGAAGAAGTACAGGAGAAGTTGTAGACTCGTTTCCTCTGTATTTCTAATTATCTTTTACCCTGCCTTCTTGTCTCTCGCAAACTTACGCGTGCAGACGTCGGTTTGAATCATGGAAGAGGTGTAATTTAATATTGGTGGTGAGCTGCCACCGACAGTTCTGGTAATTTGATGAGCGGAGACTCGTTTCTAATGGCTGCAACAGGCTGATCAGGGGGTATACCATGGCTTGCATCTGGTGATCAACGAAAACAAAAAGACGGGCAGACGATCACTTGACACTTGTTGCATCCACACATAGAGAAACTTGCAGGAACGAGTCTGCGCGTGGCACAATATCTTTTTAGTCTGACACGAGAGCGTCGCGAGCCACGAGAATTTTGGCACGAGCTAAGGAGGGTGTATTTGTTTTGGTGCAAGGAGGATTAAACATGCCGCGTATATTCATGATCACAAACAGAAGATATTTTTCAAATTTTGTAGAAGAAAAAGAAGAACGATATTCCTCCTTGCAAGGTAAGATTGTTACCAAACACTAATATGTTTATAAATGACACTCATTGATTGCTCAATTAGCTATTCACTGATTATTGTTGGCATGTCTCATTAATATGACAGACAATTATAAAACCCTATATAAATGGCTAGTTACGTTGCTTATAAACATAAACCTGTTCATTAGTAATTTCAAATGAAAGATATAATTGAGTAAGTACATTTTTCATGGAATAACATGTATATAAGTTGTCGAAACACGTGGTCTGTTGTTAGTTAGTCCACTAGACGTTTCAGATTGGAGTAGTGCCAAACCACTCTTCATGCCTGTCTTGTCTTTCCACCTACACAAAAGAACTAACACAATAAAATAATCCAACTGACATTATATAGATAATCTACCTGTCGATCAAATATAATATATTATTATTATTGTTGACATGTAGATTTCATACGTTTTGATGTGTAATTTATTATTTCCTCTCATTGTTGATAATTCAAGATGACATAGCGCAGTCTGTATACCTATTAAATCATCGTTAATCATCAAATCTCTTATCTTTAGTAGACACTTCCTTTCTTCATGTAAAGATAAAAAAGAAAATCCTTTTTTTTATTAGATTTTAAAAACTAAAACCAATTAATGTATATCGTTATTTCAAACAAAATGAAATGAAAGGTGATGGTGCTGTTAATTTGTTTAAACTCTATAAATGCTTACTGATAGCTGTATAGTTATGAGTAAACTTGATTGCACCCTCCCTGTACACGCGTCGGTTATATGTAACCAGTAATTTAATAGCCTCAACTTTCGCCCCAGATCTTCTCCAGGATGGCAGCACTAGATAAATCGACTTTCTTTGTTCTGAAGGCCGAGGACAGAAGGCAGTGCTGACACCTGATATCCTCAACTACAGCTTCTAATTTCCTATGTATACTTACACCATACAATGTGTAACGATGCCTCTATCGTTATTTCTCGTTGTTGCGTCTTCAAATTTATCTTCATTTGAAGCGAGAAGAGAGAGGGAGAAATGGGGTTTAACGTCCACTCGACACAAACTAGGTCATTTGGGGACTAACATATGGTTTAATTTTATTTCAATCATTCGCTTGCGCGTAGGGGTCTTTAGCAGTGGGAGGAAACCGGAGGACCCGGAGAAAACCCACGAGGTTGGACAGGCGACCCGACTCCTTGTCACGTACAACCGGGGATTCGAAACCACGCCAGTTGACTCAATGACAGGCCTTATGATACAGCACGCACGTGCGAACCATTCGACCATCCACCCCCCCCCCCCCATTCATTTGAAGCAAACTATTTAACATAGGACAATGATATTGTTCATCAACCAATTGCGGACACGTTTTCTGTAATATCAGTGGTTTATATTAAGTCTTACTTTTCTGCACTAATCGGGCGAATGAAAACGGAAATACGTCATGTCATATGCTATGAGGGACATTTTGACCTGGCAGTACCGCTATGGGACGTTTTTACAGCAGGTCTTCCGTCCTGTATCCCCGACAAAAGGAAATATGGCAGTAAAATCCCAAGTAACACAGGGGACGAACCAGAGAACACCCGGGTTAATGAGAGTGTCCTACTTACCGAGACTCCGTCAGTTAAAGAAATAGCAAAGCACGTCACAATGGCCATCATTATTCATTTTCCTTATCTTTTAAATTAAATAAACAACGCCAAGAATAATGATATGGCCACACAAAGTCTGGGTAGAAGCGAAAATATTAAAATATCTAGTTTAATACAGCCCATGTATGCTATTTATTACATGCATTAAAATACCTAGTATATACAGCTTATATTACATGTATTAAAATTTCTAATAAATACACCTTATGGGATGTATTTTATGTATTAAAATATCTAGTTTAATACAGTCTATGTATGGTATTTATTACATGTATTAAAATACCTAGTATATACAGTTTATATTACATGTATTAAAATATCTAATAAATACACCTTATGGGATGTATTATATGTATTAAAATATCTAGTTTAATACAGTCTATGTATGGTATGTATTACATGTATTAAAATACCTAGTATATACAATTTATATTACATGTATTAAAATATCTAATAAATACACCTTATGGGATGTATTATATGTATTAAAATACCAAAAGTATTTCATCTTTATTAAAGATACCATGTTATCTTTAAGATGTACCAATGTTTGAAATACACTGTGCTGACAACCTCTCCGATTCTACAACAACTTTACTATTATTCTGAATGACTGGTTTGGCATAATTCCAACTGTTTTATCCTAGGGTGTCTTCTTATATTGTCTGCATTGTTTGATTTATATAGACCAGTGTGTCATAATTTCAGTACACTCATAACTGGCAACTTCTAAGCGAAATGAAATGGGGTTTGATTTCCGACTTTTTCGCACCAACAGAGCGTATACACCATTATGTGTGTTATGACAGAACATCTTCACGGATAGCGGCGTTTTTTCCTTCTTTTCATCGAATTCCAACTTTGTCCCATCCGAACGACTAGACGTTTTTTCCTAGCTAGCGTAGACAATCCCTAGGAACCGTGCTCGGCCAAAATCAGGTTCGAACCCGGGATCTACCGTACAACCGTGATCGTGAAATAAAAACGGTGGTAGTAATAATATTCTACTTTTTCAATCTGATGACGTTCAAGTTCAAACATTATGTTTTGTGGTGACTATTTGACCTGTTTTGCGCCTCACACATTTCCCATTCAATAAAGGGACTCGTTAGAACACCCTATGCCACATTTAGATAATCACATTTATTTGATGAGAAGTTTCTAAATTTTGTTAGATGCTCTATATCTAAAATTCCAATAAAAGTTAGTTGATACCGTTTTATCATAGAAGATATACAGTGTTTATTTTACTACATGGGGTTTTGATTTTAGTTTACATAAATCGTTAAACTATTATGACTGATATGTAGCATTCGTAATCGTTGATTTACATATTACATGTAGATATTAAATTATCATATCACCCCGGTGTACTTAATTATTTTGTTCTTCCTACAACTTATTCACCTTCCTTAATTCAGTGAGAAAATATTTTAATAGGTTTTCTCATGCATGCTTACAAGTTGTTTGCTGGGATGCGTCACAATATTGATAAATAAAGGATTATATATCGTAGAAAAACTGTATATTTTATCTATATTAGATAAGTGTATGATGTTATTAAACATGGCATAAGATAAACTATATTATATACATGACGTGTGAGAGCATTATAAAAAACTTATATGATATATAATGTCAGTCGTTACTAATCTAATATACATGTCTCTTTCTATACCTGTACTTACTATCTGTATATATGTAGTATTAAATACATATGTATTAGTCATCATCCTGTCAAATTGAAATTTACGAAAGGCTGCTGGGAACTTTAAGAATTTGAAAAAAAACACTTTTGGATAACCATTTCATAATAATGCGCATAGTATGTTCATATATTTCTAACGAGGGTTATGCGTTAATACAATGTCTCTTGCGGATAAATTATGACTGACAAAGCATACAGACAAACACCATATTCCCAAAACAATTTAATGGGTGGAAGATGATCGTACCCAATGCTTCTGAAAATATTGACGGCCATTGGTTATGGCGATATACTCCACCATTAAATATTTAAGTTAATGATCTGGGAATAAATTGAATTTATTTAATTAAATATTTTGATAACCTTGAGGGAATACTCTTCCACAAGTAGTTTAATAACAAGATGGGTATAAATTCGTCAAATAAATAGAAATAGATGCAATGATTCATACAAATGGAGTTGAAGTGAGGTTAGAGTTAGTACATCTGGTAGATATATTGACAGTATAAACAGTAGTATAGCTAGATGTGGTCAACTCAACCCAAAACCTCATCTTATTATTGTATACACCTGTTACCTATCTTTAAATTATCATCTAACCTACAACACCACAATACATTCCTATACTGTCCTTATAGACCCCTTTATTCATTAGATTGTTTGACGGACACAGATTAATATAAAACTCCTTACAGTATATAGTCAAGCGCAGTTTTATATTAACCCCTGTGTGGACGGGTTAAAATTGTGTAATAAAGTTGTCTTACTATAAATAGAAAAATAGTAAAAACATACTACTTTTGTTTTGTTTCAGATAGTACAGATAGGAAGTCTGTTATTGATGACGGCGATAGTGATAGTGGGTGTTCTACACAGACTGAAACAAGAACAGAAATATCTCCAGATCTTGACTATGGCTGGGGCTGTCACTCTAACTTATCTTTGCTCTACGATCTCATGATACAGAGTCCTAGGAAGGCAGTATGCAGAGATGTTACCGAACAGGCCATCGACTACTCAATGGGGGGAGAGAACTCAATGAGCCCACCCCCTCCTCCTAGCTTAGAAGTTACAAATACCCAATATCTGGCTCGTAGATCACTGAATGACGTCCTTCTAAACTCCCCACACGATGAGCATAGTCCAGATGATGAACCACATGATTGTATTGATTGTGGTAAAAATTACAGTACACCCAGTAACCTAGCTCGTCATCGCCAGACACACCGTAGTACAAATGATAAGAAGGCCAGAAAATGTCCACACTGTGAGAAGGTTTACGTCTCAATGCCTGCTTACAGTATGCACGTACGAACGCACAACCAAGGCTGTGAGTGTGCCTACTGTGGTAAGAAGTTCAGTCGACCATGGCTGTTACAAGGACATATCCGCACACACACTGGGGAAAAACCCTTCTCCTGTCCAAAATGCGGAAAGGCCTTTGCAGATAAATCAAACCTTCGAGCACACGTGCAGACACATTCAACAGAAAAGCCTTACGTTTGTGGTCGTTGCGGTAAGGCCTTTGCGTTAAAGAGTTATCTTTATAAGCACGAGGAGTCCTCTTGTATGAGAGGTCAAAGATTTCGAAACTAAAGTTATACAGCTTCCGGAATGAAACGTTGAAGCAGCAACCAAATTAAAGATTTTGCGGACCAAGCATTGTATTCTCCTAACGGTGAACGAGGTTACCAGCTAGTATAAGAATAGAGACCAGAAGGTTACCCATAGTGCTTAGTAATGTTAGCCCTTTTAAAACATTACCTTTCTTAAATGCTTTCAAGAATTCTCATATTCTATTCCTTACGTTTGGAGAATCATTGCCACTCATTAGTTTTATAGCATCAGTACATCCATCTATCGTTGTGTTTGTTCCTCATTTAGCCTGTCGAGTGCAGAAACCACCATGATTGACCTATACTGCGCTTTGATTGGCTTTCATTGTTATTTTGTGTGGACCAATGGTCGTTTTTAACTTGTATTACGTGGTGACACGTCAGTCTTGAAGACTGAGACGATAACGAGAATGACAGCAGCTAACATTAGTAGACTTTGGCTGAGTTTCTACAACATAGCAGGAAATTTGCTTATTATTGAATATTTATACTTTAATTATATATTTCGACTGTGCTAAATCTATTAGACAAGTATTTTCCTGTCTTTAATGTATATAAATAACAATCTAACTACCTAAAACTGGGCTTCATAAATCATAAATATGATTCGTATAATACACCATTCGGCTGTTCGTCTTTCGAACAAGACCGAATTCTCCAGCCTCTGATAACTCCCGTTCACTAATATGTCGCGTACCATATGAAACTGTTTCACAATTTTTGTAATGCGAAAGGCTTCTTTTACGACTGTGCAAAATGACCTTAAATTCGCGTGCAGTATAGTTCTACGTAAGGCGTCATATTCTAATGCTTACCAACAACTCAATAACACACGTAGTAATACAAACTGGTCCGGGCAGAGTTTGTGCCCGTTACTCGTTAAACGACTCCTCGTACTTTTATATTCCCACTTATATTAAATAAGAAACATTTTTTATTAGGATATATTTCAAATACCTTTATTTATTGTTTTCTTAATAATTTAAAAACAAATGCTTTAGAATTTAATTTGCAGATGAAAAAAAAAGTTGATATCGAGGGCTAATTAACTCGTCATGATGTCATCCCTATGGAGTGTTATTAGCGGCCAAGTCAGTATTTACGGTGGACCAGTTTGGTACCATATCAGTGAGCGGAAGCTATTTTCAAACTAATATAAAGAAACTTGTTAAGCTCTTTCCAATGTGTCAAAGCATTTTATATAAAAGTATTTTCCTTAGCTCATTCTTCCGTCCATAAATTATCATTATGTCCACGAGACTTTAAACTCCCCCAAAAGTGTGCATGGTCAGTAATATAGAAAACTGTTTGTTAACGCATTAGTTAAATGACACTGTTAAATCCATATTTTTACTGGTAGTTATCAAGTCAATTTAATTTAGGGGATTAACAATAGTTAATGTTTCACGAGTGTATGTATAAAACCATAGCTTCACCTATCGTGCCTTTTTATAATCCTGTGCATTCCTATATTTATGTCTTAAATTTTGCGTAAGCGGTGTCAAATGAATGAGTCAAACTCTTGTTTTTCCTTTTATTTTGCTTATTGATATTTATTTTTGATACTATAATAATCATCTATCATTGACTATGTATGATGTTTTAGTCTATGATTTGGTATCAGTGTGTTTGAAGTGTCTATATATACACCCTCAAATGTACTCTCTTTTTTCGCGTAACATTATTTGGTTATTTATTTATTGTATTTCGTGTGTAATATACCGTTACATAATTCTTAGTTGTCTGTTTATAAATTGTAATATAATTATGTTTAAAATGTTTTTACTTGGTCTAAGGTCTATGAATTATTGTCTCAATTGGTGAAACGTAAATCTTTAAGGATATGTATTTATTTAATACAAATTATAAAATAAAAATTGTTAATAATCATAAATATAAAAAAGAAATTAACGAGGCGTATTGTATTTAATACCTTTGATATTCTAAAAATTATAGTATTTATTAGTATTAACAGAAATATGTATATTCAAATAATTTATTCAAATTTTTTTAAATGACAAAAGTTCACATAATTATTTATTAAGAAATATGGAATGAAGCAGCAAAATGCATTATTTATTAATTAATTTAAATTACACTACTGTATTATTATTTATTGTAAATTGTTTTCTTTTGATTTTTAAATGTGTGTACAGTGATGGCTCGTGTATTATTTATATTATTTATTCATTGCATGTTTTTTTGTTGTTTTTTTTCTACATTGTGTGAAGAAGTGGCGATAGACATATTTATAATTAGAATGTCATTGTATGTATCTCACAATAATTTATATGACTCTAATTTATTATGTATTTATTTGTTTATGTTCTTTTAATTTCAGTCGATTGTACCTTTAATATCTATCAGATGTATTTAATCACTTATACTTAAGGTATGCTCCTTCGAGGTAAATTAGGTCATCTCGTGAAATCTCAATCTAAATGAAGTGAACCCAACAAATAAAGTTATAAATGAAAGTGACAGCTCAAAAGTATGGTTTAAATTTTTCATGGAATCTACAAGAAAGGATGTTTTGTTTTGAGCCAAAATCAAAATCCCTTCTTCATAATTTTAATATTTTCTCTAATCAACAAGTTTTTAATTATGACCTCAAACCACAAAGGAATATATCTTTAAACTATATCTTGTCTTATAACGATGTCACAAATATTCAGTTAAATAATTCCAACAACCCATAAGTTAAACCATCTATTTATATAGCTAATCAGATAACATCACCCTATTTATATTAATTTATTTTAAAAAGACATTCCCGTCAATAACTGTCTAGCAGCAATCAGTAACCTGTAATAGTGTCCTTTTCTTGGTTCCATATTTTCTTTCATTACTTGAAAGTTATTCCCATTGCGCATAGAGAAGTAAAGGTAGCTCTCTACATTTTGTTTGTCAATAAATCACATACTAAAAGAATACATTATATGGTAGTACTCATCAACAGCTCACTCTTTAAACCGGTGTTCTTTATTTGCTCATTCTTCCTCTTGTTCATTTCGGTCTCAACCATTATTAAGTCACTTATTTTTTCTGTCATTATCATTATCACACTTCTTATACTACATTTATTAATTACATAACGTCATTGAAATATCGGTCATTAAATCACTATAACACCATTTTATTCCCTTTAAGTTGACCACCAATTAAACAATTTACAAGAAAAGGACATGATCTATCTCGCTGATCTCGTTTAGACAAATCCAGTTTTATTTTCCTATTATAAGCAGCATTTAATATGTTTCTATTAAATATTTTTTAAAGATATGCAAAGAATACAAACTATAAACTGAGCAATGTAACCAAAAAAGATCCCACCCCGCCCTCGTGTAACTTGTTTTTGAAATTAACACAAATGGAACAATATATTTGGGTTAAAAGCAGAACAAGGGTTTGAGAGGGGTGGCGATGTACGTATAGTTAACGGTTTCATCTTATTATTGTAATTTCTCAAATTTTCTAAAAATTTTAATGTGTTGTATATGTATATTTGCAAATGATGAGGCATATTTGAATCCCATGGATGCACCATCTGAAATGTTTTACATGTATTGTCAGCTTCATTTTTTACGTATTATTCTCGTACAACGAATCATGTCATTTTCGAACATCAACAAAATGACCAAATATATTGGTTTTGATTCCATCCAAAAATTTTGTCAATTTTTTTTTATACAAAACCATTTTTCTTTATTGTAAACTATTTTTTACTTTATGTACAATTTTTGTAAGAATTTATTGCCATGTTTTTTACAAAACAGTCTTTGTGTTTTTGGGTGTGCTTTATTTATTGGGTGAATAAAACTATAAATTTACAAAATATTCGAGTTTGTTTACGCCCAAACTGAAAGGTGATCGCATATCATAGTCCCTGTCCGGCCACCAATAAGCTACTTGCTAACGCCCATGACGAAAACTGCTATCGACTCTCCGATAATTACTTTCAGAGATACTGCCCTTCATCCTTTAACAGATTATTGTGATAGATTATAGGTCATTATAATAGATTATAGTGTTATTATTCGATTGGTTTACAATAATTATATTGGTGAGACAAGGGAAACGTTTTCCAGAGTTATTTTCCTTTATCACCTCACCGTGAAGAATCTTTTGTCGTATTATCTTCCAAACGTTTGTGTACGATTAATTGAACAGGCACCCCTTTCGGGTTTCTTACGCGCTATTTGATTGAACACTGAAACAATGTGCAAGAAAATAGCAATACGCCCGATGATTTGATGAAAATGTTTTGCTGGAACTAATGAAACATGGATCAAGCAGTGAATTGGCTCCTGGACTGGCTTTGGTGAACGTTGTGCAGAAGGATCACCTTAAAGGAAACAAAAATCCATGATTCCAGCATTTCATTATTTCCGACACAACGTTGTGTGTTTTTTTGTTTAAAACCATCTGGCCAACGGCCCAAACGACTTACCATCACTATTGTCCGTCGGTCGGCATAAACAGTTCATATAACCGTAAATGTAACCGTTTACGGATTTTAAACACCATATTTCGGGGTATTGTTTTACACTAAAAACAACCATAACATGTTTGTGTTCCTACGTGATGTGAACCATGAAAATACAGCCACTGTTTACATCTACAGCTTATAATATTATGGTCAGGTTGATACCGACTCCCGTGTTCCGTGTAGCGTGGGCTTTAAAACAACAAATATGACAGTTATGTTTGTAGATGTTGGTCTCCCATAGAAAAGATGAACAGAATAGATTGCATGCCTTTTAGACATTTCTGGATAAACAAATTTCTTCAATATATCGTCTTTTAATTGAATTACTCTTTAAACGACGGCTCCACGTGTTTTAAATAAAGATCCGGTGGTACTTTTCACTGTATAATATATTATATTCTGAGGAATAATTTTGGACTTCTTCGAAACAGATATAAAGATTTCAGCCAAATAAATTTGGAAATGAAATGGGGTTTAACGTCCTACTGTTCTGCTCCTATACTGGGCTAATGAAGACGGGCATACGCCATACAGTGTGCTATGAGGGAAATTTTACCCAGGTAGCGGCACTATCGCCTACTCTTATATCGAATTCCAACTGCCAGGGGATCTTTTACATGCATTCCAATATATACACGGGACTTCGGTTTTTCGTCTCATCCGAGCGACAGCTGTCCTTGTCAGACCCTCCGTCCTGCATCACTGACAAGGGGAAACCACGCCGGAAAATCTGGATGAACACCCGACCTCCAGGCTAGCGAACCAGCGTCTTACCCACTTAGCCACGTGATCCCTTCAAACAAATTTGGTTTATATGTTTTTTTGATTTCAGATTTGTTGAATGTTGTTAATAATTCTCGTTAGGGCGTGGCGGAATTAAATTTAGACCTTTTTGCACAATTACACTAAACCGCTAACTGTATTTCAACCAAATTTTGTAAGTATTTTCCATGGCTGGTGGTGCTTATTCGTATGCATTTACCTAAACTGCTGAAGCAATTTGAGATAAACTGTTTAGGGTTGTTGATGGGTGTTTATTTAAATGGTTTATTTCAATAATATGATTTGTTCAAATATAATAATTCTATATACATGTACACCTGTACCATTGATTATATATTGAATTGTTTATAAGTTTAACATATTGCTGGTGTGTTTTATTAGATGTTGTAGAGATATAGATTGATTAGATAGAAAGATCTGGTACACACCATCAACACCATATGTTATACTACATGGTATAAACACTACCATAGTCCATATGTCATTTTGATGATTAATACAGATGGACACTAATATTACATACCGCATCACTTAAACTCACCACGTATTTTAAGGTGATGAATCATAATCATGAAAACAATCTGATGTTATTATGAATGTCTGAATATGAGAGAGACAGAGAGAGAGAGAGAGAGAGAGAGAGAGAGAAAAGAGAGGGGGGTAACGTCCACACGACACAAACTAGGTCATTTCGGGACTAACATACGGTCCACGGAGCTGGACAGGCGACCCTACTCCTTATCACGACACTTGACTCAATGACAGACCTTATGATTTCACGCGCACACCTTAAACCACTAGGCCTTCCTCCCCCAAGATCAACAAACCGCAAATCATAAATTTTCTTCCCCGTTAGAAATGGGTATTGGAATGCATTTGTTGATACTGATGCTTTCTGATCGAATCAACTGTAAGAACTTTTGTGTTTGAAATGGTTTATTACGTACAACCCAGTGCGACAGTGGTTTGCTTTGAAATGCATAGCCATAATGTTTACTCTAGAATGATCTTGACCTATTGGGGTGACGAGATTATATACACGCTTACCGATCCAACACCTTTCACAATCTGTTAAATGAGTGATAATGAAACCGAAATATATTTCTTTTGACAATTGAAATAAGTATCCAGACTTTATACAACCCATGGTTCGTGATTCATCGTTTAATGATGGACAGTGATGCCAAGAAAAGCTTACGTATCTACATAGATACTCATTGAACTGATTCATTCTATACTTGCTACAATCTATAAAATAACACATTCTCTACGTCAAAGGAAAACTGCTTCTCTTCCCACTAACAAATTTGCCGGCAGGTGTCACCGCTTTTCTGACCACCTGCTTCCGGTTTTCTACCAATAAGGGTAATCAAATGTTTCAAATTTCGTTATATTTCCGTTTGAAAATTTGTTTAAGCTCAGTACATGTTCTATCAGGGTGCCAGTAGGCAAATAATGTAGTGTTTAGTCGTGTGCTTATATCATTATTAAATGATGTTATTCCATATATTATAATGTTGATGGTGATATAGTAGGTGGTAGGTATAAATAACAATTTATCAGTAAAGTCATTGTTGGTCACCATATGACAGAAACTGCCTTCTGTTCCTGGACATTTTGTAATAGTCGGTCAGTACGAA